CAGCCGGTGCAGCCTCTCGAAAGCCTCCCCAATCGTCACCCGCAGGCTCTTGGCTGAGGACTTTTGGGGTGAAGGTGGGTGTCAGGACCCCCCCGAGCTTCTCTGACCCCTCCATGAATCCATAAATCCCATAATAAACCCCTACAGCCCCATTAACCCAAATGATTCCGCATGCTCCAAGCATCCGAGAATGGATATTTGACCCCACGTCCCCACAGAAAACCTAAAACCCTCCCGTGGCTGGTGGGGATGGAGAAAAATCAAACCTTGCTGGAAGCTGAGCAAGGAGAAGGAGACAAATATAAAATAAAAATTGATTAAAAAAATAAATAAAAGCATCCCTGAAGGAAATAAAAGAGGGATGAGCAGCCCGACGGGCGGCTTTGTCAACCTGCTGGTGAGTTTTGGGGACTAGAGAAGGGAAAAAAGGGGCAGATCCACAAAACTGTGGGGTTTGGGGTGTTCGGGGGTCCCAAAATCAGGGGATGGGGCGCAATCGAGGGGCACAGCCACGTCCCTGCTCATACCTTGGTCTCGGCCAGCTGCCGTTTGAGGAGGTGCAGGGCTTCCGTGTGGCCGCGCTCGCTCTCCTGCAGCCCCTGGAGCTGCTCCTTCAGCTCCCGCTGGAAAGAAACCGTAAGAAAACAAACGGAAAGAGGGACATTGAGATGGGACATCAGGAAGTTCTCCCCGGAGAGGGTGGTGAGGCAGTGGGACAGGTTGCCCAGAGAAGCTGTGGATGCCCCATCCCTGGGAGTGTCCAAGGCCAGGCTGGATGAGGCTTGGAGCAACCTGGTCTAGTGGAAGGTGTCCCTGCCCATGGCAGGGGGTGGCACTGGGGGGGCTTTAAGGTCCCTTCCAACCCAAACCCTTCTGGGATTCTGTGATAAACCAAGGGATTTGGGGAAAAAGGGATCGCAGGAGGCAGCTTTCCTGCCAAAACCTGGCTTGTGGGATATGGAGTCTTGGGAAAAGGGGGTGCAGGGGAGTGGTCAGTCCCTGAGGGCATGGGGATCCCATCCAAGGTGGAGCTGGGGGCTTGTGGGGCAGCTCAGCAGATTCACGGGGGTGCACAGCCAGCTGGTTTGGGGGTCCCCAAGGACCCCCAGTGTGGATGGAGAAGGGGGGGAATCCCACAGGGTCTGGCTGCACAAAGGGCGTGTGGACTAATGGACGGACGGACGGAGGAAGGCACCAACGGGGACAGGAGGGGTGCAGGGACAGATGGACACGAGCGGACACGGAGGCAAGGGGGGGCCGGACCGACGAAGGAACCGAGAGCAGCCG